AATAGACGGTACGTGGGACAGCACCGTAAACACCCCAAGCACTAAATAGCTGTCATAATTAAGAAGTCGTTTCCCTGCCCAGGAATGCATACTGACTCCTGACTGCCAATCATTAAGTTCAACTGCATTTCCTTAGCTTTAGAAAACTTTCATAATCTACATCCGTCTCAATTATATAATCTTACTTCCAATTACCCTCCAATACATATCCTGCATGTAATATCAACTATTTGTTCATTCGTTTTACAAAAACGTATTAAGTCACTACAAAGAGTTAAGCATGGTGCTAAATGTTGGGGATATTCTCCTCAGTGTCTACCTAGCACAGGACCTTTTAATAATAGTAGACGCTACATGGATTATTGATTGAATTTAGGTATCCTATCAATGTTGATTATTGATATAGCACTAAGGGATGATGAATGGAGGAAAATACAAGGATAACTAGTTTTTAATGACTCCATCTCATTCATTTCTTCTGTACAATAACCCTTTAAAATACGTATTATCCTCTCTGTTTTAGAAGTGAGAAGAAAGAAGCTTAGAGAGATGAAATAACTTGCTCAAAGTCCAACGGCTAGTAAGAGGCGAAGCTGGAACTTGAACATGGGTCCGTGTACTTCCAAAGCCTATGCTTGAGTTCCAGATCGGAGAGAAGGTGGGGGGCCAGTAGGAAACGAAAGGTTTACCTTCCGGAAAAATTCATTGTGAACCAGCCTCAGCAGTCCAACGGAGACCTCGGTCCCCTTTGCAAGCCACCCAAGGTGGCACCTCACGACCTGACACCGAGTATTGCTCCCATTCTGCCAGAAGAGAGAGACAGCTCAGGACCTGGGGTGGAAAGGTCTCCCATGTCCCCCTCCAGGCTCTGCACCCCCCATCCCAAGGCTCCAAACTCCACTGCCCCCACCCTGGACACCTTCTTCACCTTCTTGTGGCGCATACCAGTCTGCTCGTGTGCTGCAGGTCCTCTGGATGCACGGGGTGCCCGGGGGGCTCGGTCAAGTTCTGCACTGTGCAGCTTGCCTGGAGGAGGAGCCAGCCTGAGCCACCGTCTTGCCGGCGAGAGCCCAGCCACTTCGGGCTGCGCAGTCGCCTACTGCCCACACTCTTGCAGTGGGGCAATCCCTCTCTTTCTTCTCAAAGAAGCCACATAGATTAAAAAAAAAAAAAAGATCCCCTGGGGGGAGGAGCCCTGAGAGCAGTGACCCAGCATACAGGGACCTGGCGAGTCCACCGGATCAAGGAGGGTGGGCTCTACACACCCCAAGCCCAGACTCACATTGTTAGTGATGACCTGAGACAGTGACAGGAAGTAGTTGCCCCCATGGGCCACAGCTGGGAGGAAGGCTGAGATGATGAGGCCGCTGACCACATAGCAGCCAAGGTTCTGAACCTGGCGGAGGGATTGGAAGTGGGAAGAGGTGGGAGACGGGAGGCCCCTCCTCATCTGTCCCCTTTACCGTAGCATCCACTGAAACCTGAGAGACCCTTCCAGTCTTTGCCCCAGAACTCCGCCCCACCCCCTGCTAGTGCCAAGCCCCCCGCCCCACCCCAGCTTCTCACCTTCAGAGTGGTTTTGAATTCAGGACCAGGACCCACTGGGAGGGTCCCATATGGGTGAACCTCATAGCGATGCAGAGTGGACTCACTGCGTGGACACCAAGTCAGGAAGTACATGGTCACAGCCATGACAGACGCAGAGGCACATGGCCAGCGCATGGGTGAGGGGGGTTCATAAAGAAGACAGAAACGGACCCTGATGTAAACTTGGTACAAACCTTACGGTCACATCCCATGTCCCCCCACCCCAGCTCCGATCCCCAGGGCCAGCAAAGCCCTATACCCAGGAATTAGTAAGATGCTTAAAGGAGAGGATCCCGCACGGTGGGACTGAAGGCAAAGAGATGGAGGGGCGCTAAGAGCCTGGGTTTGGGAGAACAGCGGAGCGCGGGAGGGGGAGGGGGAGACGGAGAGTCTCGGGGGATGGAGCCATACCTAGAGAAGAGGAGGTGGGGCTCATACTGGACGTAGGCTGAGGCCTCCGCCGTGTTATCCCGAAGGGTCTCACTGCTCTCCAGGCTGTTGCTGTAGAGTCGGTGGGGGGTGGGGGGGAGGGGCAGGGAGAGGCTCACACCCCGGCTCAGACACCCCTCTCTGGGGTGGAGTCAGTGCTGCTTACCCCTCCCCCAGCACACACACCATGTCCACCACCAACACCCAAGGGAGAGGACATTCCCTTTGCTCTCACCTGGTGGCAGTCAGCCTCACAAGGACCCGGCTCAGGAGGGCGGAGCAGCTAAACTCGAACTCTAGCAGAAAGGTCACCTGAGGGGCAGGGGACATGGGGTCACGGCAGATTCCTCTTCAGGGGCAACCATAGAGGAACAGGAGCCCTGCCCTGAACCCCAGGCCTCGCCGCTCCGGCCCTCCGCTGTCACACAGCCCCTCTCCCATCCCGGGCCCCGACCTACCTTGGCTCCGGTCGGAAAGACGGGATGCCCCACGCTGCAGAGCCGGGCATGGGGGGCGGGGGCTGCGCACTCCACCTTCACCGGCCTGTCCCTCTGAGGGCAGAGAGGCGGGGGCGGAGCCGGTGCTGCAACTGCTCTCCTGCCCCAGGCTCCGAACACCCAGCCTTTCTCTAGAGCCACTCATGGCTCCGGGAGGACAATCCCCCCACCTCCCCCTCCTCCTCCCTCCCGCCCTCCAGGCACCTGAGGGGTGAAGCTGGCCAGGTGGAGGTTTCTAGAGAAGCTGAGACTCAGGCTGGTGTTGTAGGCATTTTCCATCCTGTTCTCCAGAATTACTGACACCAGCACTTTCCGTCGACCGCCTCGCACCAGGAACGGGTCCTGCCTAAGAGTGATGGGCACGGGGAGCTCAGGAGCTGGGGGGGCGGTGCCGGAAACCTCGCTTCCGTCCCAGGCCAGAAGCAACCTTCCAGTTTCCTCAGTCCCTTCAGGCCTGGTTCAGGTCAGTTCGCATCCATCCCACCTGGAGCCTCTGATGTCCATGTCAGCGCGAAGCACCAGGTCTGTGACACACTCGTTGTCGGGGCCACAGTCCTTTGAGAAGGGGACCTGGAGGAGAGCGAAGGGGCCGAGGGCTGAGAGAAAGGCAAGGAGAAAGGAATGGAACTTGGGGGGAAGTGACAAAAAAGAGTGGGTGCCAAGGTCACTGAGCTCACATCTCCTCCCTCCCCTTTCTAGAGAATTTACTGAGAAACAAAATGCAGGGTGGGGGCCCAGGGGCAGGGCAGGGCAGGGCGTGACACCGCTGACCAGCTTCCTGATGGAGGTGGGCGAGCCCTCATCCAGCACGGGCCCTCGCTTTGTGGTGTTGTCCAAAGCAAAGGTCACGGTCAAGACCACTGGCCGGAGGTAATCTGATGTATCCTGAGGGAAACCGGAGTCAAGGGTCATGGGGAGCCAGGGCTGGGGCTCCGCCCAGGCCCCTGGCAGGTCGTGATAATCTCAGCGATCATTCACTGAGCACTGTCTGCGTGCTGCGCACTGTCCTAAGGTTTTATCAACACTGTCACGTTCACTTCCAATACAACGCCTACGATGCAGTTATTATCATTACCCCCCTTTGCGGACAAGGGCACTGAGGTTTGCAGCTTATGTGACTTGCCAGGTTACCCGGGTGGCAGAGCTAGGATTCAAACCCGGATCAGCCCGACTCCAAAGTCTGGACTTTCTCACGTCCCTGGCTTCTTGCCCAACTGGCAGGAATTCCTCCTCTTACCCAGCCTCCCCTCTCTCCCAGGCCCTGATGCAAAGCAGGTCCTGTCCCCTCCTCACCAGCACGTGGAAGTGCAGCTGCTCACAAGTGACG